GTCCCTTGATGATGATCCCCAGCTTTGAAAAATAAATTGATTCTAAAGAGGAAATTAGATGGTACTTATTATACTGTCTAACTAGTAATCCAGTGTCATTTGTCTGTTGCTTGATGAATGTCCTGCTTTAGCCTACCTTCCTTGTTTAACAATGAGATCTCCAGATCCATGACACAGTACAGAAACCTGCCTTTTAATGAGGCTCCATTGCCCGTTAGTTTTTGCATTGACTCAGAAGAAGATAATGATGGATATGGTGATTTTCAAGTGCATTTATGATTAATTTATCCCCATTTATTTTTTTGGGGGTATTCACACCTTACAATTTTGATATTTTCATTAACATTTCTTAACATAAATGCAATATTACATGTTTTAAGTAGATTAAAGAGAAACCATTGTGAGAAAAATGATGAAGGAAAAGGTGATTTTGAGCTACATTTCTAAAATATTAATAGTTTATATTTTGGAGTTTACTTTTTAACAGCAGAGTGGTGAAATTAACACAGACCCAAATTACAATGTATATTTAGGCATCCCATTTCAGTTTCTGTCATGATCCACATGTCGAATTCTAAAAGTTATTTTCTGAATCTAGGTTTACTTCTGTTTGAACCCTTTTATATTTGCATATTTGTTTTTAACTGGAACTATAAACAGCATCCTCATACTGTTTATACTAAAAAACAATCAACTTTAAAATGAAATTATTTCACAGTCCATCCTGTATGTAGTATAATATAAAAAAATATTCTGTATGTACATACAGACTTTCATTACATATATAGTAGATCAAAAAGGTTTTGATTACCTCTTTAGTTACCACTTTGTCATAAACAGTGTACTATCACATTTTACTGTAATTGCATTAGTGTTACTGTAGGTCTAAAAATCCAGATATTGTATTGTATATTCTCAGCAAAAACAAAAAAGTAATACAAAATCCCTACTTTTTCCCCTTTTCATATTCCAAATGTTACAGGGTTAAATGCAGCTTTGCATTCTAAGGTGAATTCTATTCAAGTCTGGGTCGGTTGGCAGCCCTGCCATGTCACACTCCTGATGCTTAAAAGTAATGCAGGCAGACAGAGTGACAATCACGTTGCAGTCTCCTATCCACAGTAATTAGTCTGTTAGTTAATGCGGACTTGATGAGGAGCCCTCATCAACCCCTTCATGCTGCTGACTGAAGGCCCATGTTTTGATGTTTGCATTATCACCACCAGTGCCAACAAATTGAAACACCAGGCTAATTAGGATGGCTAATGAAGTGCGTGCAGTGGCCACGGCTTGCCGCAAAGCCTTTCCTTCGATTCACATTAGAGTTTCATCAATCACTTTTTTAAAAGTGATGCAGAACCACTTCTGCCTATTGCCTGGTATGTTTTAATGTTGCTTCAGTAATTGCTTTTTCTCCTTCTACCATCCAAAGCTAAGGCTGTTTTTTTTTCTTTTTTTTTAATTATTGTGGGTGCAAGGATACTGGCAACTAGAAAATTTAGTTTAAAATGATGCTCTGTTACTGCCTACCCTTGTTAATCATAGGCTGGATAATGCATCAAAATGATATGTTTGATATATGGGGGTATTTAAATGTGAATGGTATTCATAATGAGCAATAAATAAATAAAATAAACTATGACAGTAGCTGTGAAGTATGCAATGGTATTCTGTGTAAAATTTCATTAGACCTCAAAAGCCCTCCGGACTGTGTTACATTAGTGACCAAAGGCTGAAGGTAATTCACCATAACTGTTTTATTGGGATGTAAAATTCCACTGTCATTTCATTGGCCATCTAATAAACAATTCTGATGACTTAATTCTTTTTTCTCATATCAATTAACTCTTCCCTTTCCTTAACTCTTTTAACAGTTTTCAGCTTCAGGATCAAAATGTACACTGTACATACACACATATATATTTTTCACATTAGGTTGAAGAGCACAAATAAATTCTGTCTAAAGCATTCTGTCTGTGACTGACACTCCAAATTTTCTTGTCAAAAACATATCTTTGGGAAAGTCACAACATTTAAAAAAGCCAAACATTGTCTTGATGATTTGTCATCCTCACTTTTGTTCAGAAAATCCACTGCTGTTAATACTGCAAGTCTACTTCTCACAACTTGAGAATATGGAATTGAGTCTCTGCAAATCATTAGGTCTGAGTTG